ATTTTTCTGTAAGACAGTTTTGTTAGCAAAATTTTAGGAATCGATTTGTGCCAAGGAGGAGTGTCCACACTTGTGGCAGTGCCAGATCCAGTGACCCTCTGAGGGCAGCTGGGTCCTGCCCAGCACTGGAGATGGGGGACACAGGCTGAAGGAGCAGGACGGGCTGCTACACTCATCACTGGGGGGCACGTGACAAGAGAAGAAACAGAACAAGTGGGAAGAAGGGAAATTCCAGCTCAGTTTAAGGAAAAATCTTCCCCCAAGGGTGCTCTGACATAGAGCCTGAAGCCCAGAGTGAGTGAGAGGTCTATATCCCAGGATATTCAATCCTCAGCTGTACACAGCCTTGTGAACCTGGTCCTGCTGTGAGCCAGGGCCAGGCTTCCAGAGCTCCTTCCCAACCTGCAGGGTCCTCTGACAAGCTCATTCCTAGTGCTCGTACAAGTGCAACATTGAGCAGTAGGCTGGAACACAGCAGAGAGCCCTTCCTCTTCCAGTGAAGCCCTTCTGGATTTCTCCAGGAATGAGATGAAGGGGCTTGCAATCAGGTCTGACAGACACACTGAAGTCTAAGGAATCATTCAAGCTCTGCACCCTCCAGAAGCAGGAAAAATTTCCTTGGGTCTAGTCCTTCAAAACAGATCCAAAAGAGGTGGTCAAAGGGCAAGGCAGAAGCCACTGCTGCTCAGGACAGGGACAGGAGGCTGTCACTGCCATCCTCTCCCTGCTGTCACACCTCTGCCTCAGCCACCCCCCACCTGGCCTGAGCCTCAGGAAGGGTCCTGCCCAGGGCTGCTCCAGCTCCAGTCCCTCACCTCTGGGCAGATGGAAGCTGCTGCCCCGGGTGCCAGGTGGCACCAAGGACTTGGTGTCACAGGCAGCCTCGGAGGCAGGGGGGACATAATGTGGCCTGACATTCCCTCCAGCTCTCCCTCTCCAAGCTGATCCGACACGGAGCTCATGCACTGTGCAACAGATCCTATTCTGCAGGGATTTCCCTCCCCTCTGGTGCTTCACTTCTTTCCCCAGAGAGCAATAAGCTGCCTTCTGAGGACTGCAGAAAGTGGGGTGGGAGAACAGAGAGGAAAAAAAACAGAGAGAATATACGAAGCCCTGAGAATACAAAACTAGAACTAAAATCAGGCAGCTTCTTAATGAGGACACTGGGGATAACAGCTCTTCTGCCCACCCCCAGGAGGGTTATGCACCCTGCCCCACTTTCAGTTTTATAGAAGACAGGCAAACAAGTAAACATTTCACTCTGAAGGTCAGATCCTGGATTTCCCGGGTATGAGAAGAGGCCAAAAGTTCACCAGTTATTCTTCCATTGAAAAAGCCAACCCTGACACTGCAGGATGCCAGCCTGTTCACTCCTGCCTCTGCAAGTGCCACCAGCACAGCCCTGCCAGCAGTGAGCACTGAGCTCTGCCAGCGAGCACTTGGCCACAGGCATTTGGAGAAAAATGCAGAAATCTCCAGGAGGAAATCACAGCCCCTTGGCTTGATGCAGAAAGAATGTGACTGCCTGATAAAAGCCCCACTTCCTCATGTGACTAATGACAGTAAGAGGAAAATCAGCACTCACAATCCACATGCACACTGCAAGCAAAGGCAGGAGCTTTCTTCATTTTCCTGTTCAAAGAAATGAAGCATTGCTGGTGAGACTCCAGACACAAGTCACAGGTCAGACTCCACCCTGCACAAAAAACCCTCTGCCTTAGGCAGCTGGTTTTGGAAGAGCAGAGTGTGGGGACCCTTTTCTCCTGCTTTCTGAGGTTCAGGCTGGTAGATGAGTTTGAGCCATTTTTTCAGGCTCCTCTGCCATTCAGAGCTACAAACACCATGAAGCAGATTCCAGCTTAATGGAACTCAGAATTCCTCATACCTGTGCAGACTCAAAATGCCTTTCATGCCCTGGGTGTGCTGAAGAGCAGAGTCCCTCCTCCCCAGGAGCCTCAGCAGGGGACTGAGTGCAGCACTGACCTGCCCTCTGCTGCCACCGGGGCACTGGACCAGCCCCAGCAAGCTCTGCAGCACCCGGCAGGCCCAGCTCACTAGTGCCCCAGCCTGCTGCAGGCTGGGATGTGAGGTGGTGCCAGCTGCTGGGCACAGCTGGCTCTCCTGCTGCCACTGCCCCCCTGCCTCAGCTCTCTGCTGGGACCACTGGCACCACACGTGAGTTTGACAGTCCCCCAGTCCCGGAGATGTGGCAGGAAATAAATCCAGAAAATCTGATTAGGACTTGTCACTGAAGTAAGCTCATTAATCATTGATGGGGCTCTTTCATAGGCTGTTTGCTAACTCCTGCAGGCACCAGCAGGCTGGTGGGTCTGAAGACTACAGGCTTGAAAAAGTTCTTTATATAACAATCGTGCTGATTTTTTTTCCTCTTGAATATTTAGCACATTCTAATAAATAAAGAAAAAAAGGCACAAAGCACCAGTGAGATCACTTAGCCCAGCTTCTTGCATAAAATCAGGCAGAGGATTCCCCTGAAATAATTCCTGTAGCTGAGAAGATAAGAAGATCTAGTTCAGAAGATGTAAAATCCAGCTTGAAAAACTCTGTCAGCCACTTGCCTCAGTAATTTTTGCAGCAGTCAGTTACCCACACTGTTGTGTAAAAAAATAGAAACAAAATCCCATCTCATTTTTTAACCTGAGCTTGTCTAGCTTTGCCTGTCAACAACAGGTTGAGTAAAAGATGAAAGTCTTCTATTATTAAACTGCTTTTTCCCCAGCCTCCCCCAAAATATTCTCAGCCAAGCTAAGCCAGCTGAGCTACTGCCATCTGAACACCCAGCACGTGTTTCCCATGCCCCAGCAAACCCTGGCAGCAGGACATGGCTTGTCACGGTGCCAGCCGTGCTCACTCAGGGCCAGAGCACTGCACACAAGCTGTGAGTAACTGTCCTGGGCTCAAACACATGCCATAATCCACATACGTGTGGTTCCAACTTCAACCCATGGATGGAACCCTCTGATTCTGGCTTCCAGGGAAACTGAGCACTAAAACCCCTCTCCAGATAAAAACAAGAGAAACCTGTGATTCCTGCACAATGGGGATAGCTGCTCTCCAGAGCCAAAGGATGAACTAAAAATACCTGGCATTTCCCAACTGCAAAGAAAAGGATGTCTCCCCATTTTGAGCACACAGATCACCCTCCCCACAGCTTCCCTGGAAGACTTTCTGAAGACAGTTCAACCCAATTTCAGCCAGGCACACCGAGGCACTTTGGTTCTCAGAAGCCAACAGTGGTCAGGCATTTACAAAACCTGTAGCTCTGCTCTCTGGAAGAGAACATCAGCCTCGTGGTGCTGCTCAGTAAGCCTCAGCCTTTCCACACTGTTCCTTGGATGAAGGGTCCCCAGCAGGACACGCAGTGCACACCAGCACGTCACTGCAGCATGCTCAAGGAAGTTCAAAGCCATTTGGACAAGTCTGAGATTCCTCTAAGAGGGAAGGCAGGGATTCAAACAGCCTACCACCTTCCCTGCCTCATGGACAAATCAAACAGCATATGGAGCTAATGAAATTATCTCTGCAAAGCCCTGACCTAGCGAAATGACTGAGATTTCCTTTCAGATCTAGTTTCTGGGAGAGTAGGGGGTATGTCTCCTTCAGCACATCCAGGTTTGCTGTGGGTATGCTGATGAGTAACATGTGTCAGTTCTGGTGAGTCATGGGTGCTAAATTCCATCCCAGAGTGTCTCAGCTCCACGGCAGCAGGGCTGGGCTGAGCTCCACAGGCTGCACTCACTCTGCCACTCCCCACACATCACAGACTTGCTAACAATACGTCCAAGGGTGAGCATGCAAAACCTTTTCATCACAAAGACACAGGGCTAAGTAATTTCCTCTTCCTTTCCCAGCTACTTTCAAACTGCTTAATGTGCCAAAGAATGATCTCCATTCTGCATTGCTAAAACTCTTTCAAAACCACTTCCCTTTAGATTAACTCCATACGACCCAGGTAAATTATCCACAGCCAGAGCTGCTCCCACGTGGAGCCCCAGGAGCAGGTCAGCAAAGATGGTCTGTGTAGGATGGGCCTCACCAGCTCCAGTGACTCACCAGTGCCTTTCATCATCATTCCCATAGCTGGGCTGCACACATCTCCTTCACAGCTTCTCTGCAACAAACACTTCCCTGGTAAACTGCATCTCGATTCTCCCGGGGCAGCCACTCTGGGTAAGGTCCAAAGTACCCACAACAGACTGGACACAAACACATCTCTGCCAGGCAAGAGAGACAGGGGCAAAAAGGCAGAACTGCAGCTCAAGGCCTGAAGCCTGTGCTAAACCTGGGGCCAGGATTTTTCTTGCACACTGTTCACACTACCTGCACACCAGGACACTGGGGTTTGTGTGACTGTATGGGATGGATTACTCAAGAATGAGCAAAAATCGTGAGCTCTGCAGTTGAGGTGTCTTCCTGGGAGTGAAGGAAAATTAAAACCATACAAACAACAACAACAACATCCCAAAAACCAACACACATCAAAAAACAATAAAATAAAAAGAAAAAAAAAAAAAACAACCCACAACAAACCCAATAGGAAAAATAAAAAATGTCTTCTGCTGCCTCGACAACTGGTGAGAGCCCTGTTCTGTCAGCCCTTCCAGAGGCACCAGAGGCTGCCACCCCATCAACACTTGTCAGTGGTGCTGAGAGTGTTGTGTCATAGAATCACAGAATTCTTTTGGTTGGAAAATACCTTTAGGATCAAGTCCAACCATTAACCTCATGCTACCAAGTCCATTGCTAAACCATGTCCCCAAGCAGCATATCTCCACAACTTTTAAACACATCCAGGGTGCTGTTACTGAGCAAGTCCTACAAATGCCTGCAGTAATATGGCTTTTAACACACTCGCAGCCAAGAACCCCATTCCCAAAGAGGTCCTTGATCCTGAGCAGTCCCCTTCCCACCCTGAGGCAAGCCCTGAAGATCCAGGGTGCACAACAGCTACGCCTCGAACTGTACTCACCCAAAGCCCACTATTCCACCTTGCCAGAGCTGAAGTAGCTGGGTTGGTGCCAGTCTCCACGGCTGCTGCCTCTTCCCCTGGGAGGGTAGGCCTCAGGAGCAAATGCACCTTTAAAGCAAGACCATGGAGAGGTGTGTGAGTGTCCCAGGCTCCCTCACACGCTCCTTCCGCGTCCTGCCCGACAGCAGCGCAGCCAGCAAGGGAAAGCAGCTGGCCACGGCCTCAGCAAACTGCTGGTCTGCCCCATTTTCCTCCCCCTCAGGCAGATGGCCTTCAGATGGCCTGAAGAGGTGAGCCAAAAGGCAAACAGGAGAGTCCAGCACGGCTCACCTTCCCCACGGCTGCTGCCTCGCCTGCTGGGGCTCCTCATCGGCATCCGCAGCACCTGCAGATTGCAGAGGTTTCTTTACAGAGAGCACCCCAGGAAGCCCCCTGCCCTCCTTCCCTCAGGTCCTGTCATTACCCACTCCTCTGAAAAGAAGGTTACTGCCAATCCTGCTGCAAAGCAGTGATGTTGCTAAGGAACTGGGCAGTTGCAGGTGGGCTCTCAGGTCAACGCTTTCACACCTCACCCCTGCCAAGGGCTGGGCACCAGATGAATGCCAGGCTCCCTTTATCAGCCACTCTGTGCTAACAGAGAGCATCTGGCATTGGCCTGGTGGCCAGCACAGCTCACACCCTTGACAACACCTTACCTGATCTTCCTGCAGTGCAGTGACAGCCAGGACAGCAGAGCCTGGAGAGCACACTTAGTCTCTTGCAGTCACACAGGGCACCTCTTTGACTCGTTTATCCCAACCTGCTCTTTTAAAGCTCTTCACACTCTTCTTTTGTTGGTCTCTATCCAAGTGATATGATCCCAGCCTTAGCCAATCACAATTCCTTCTCCTACCCAAATGCCACCAGCTATGGGAGCTACCCAACACCACAGCTCCACCACATCACCTCATGCAGGCTGAGATCCCTGGCACTGAGTTACAGCTCGAGCACGAGCTACAGTGAGCTTGCTGCAGCCCTCTGCAGAAAGAAACACTGTCCTCTCCACATGCAATAATTCCCTTTGGCATTTATTCCTTATTAACATTGCAGGAAATATATTCCCCAGCAGGACTACTGGCAGCAGCACTGAATTTTAACTGATGGTTGAAGAAGACTTGCAGGAAGATGTCTGCTTGTAAAAGCAAGAGTTTATACTGCATGCCCTGTTAAACATGAGTTATGCTTAACCCACAGAGGACAGACTGAACACCCAAGCCCACATTTTGTCTTCCAGTACTTCACAGGCACTCTTCCTGCCCCACAAACCAAGCCTTCCTGTAGTGCATGCACTAGCTAGCTCTGAAGAGAGATTCTGAACCAAATAACATATTAAAAAAATAAAAATACAAGCAAATTTGGCAAATCAAACTAAGGGAAGGTGACACAGAATCATATGTGCTTCAAGTCATTCATTCAGTCACTTGCACTTCCCAAAAATAAAAGCTGTCCATATCCTCTGGCACCTTGCTTGTGAAGTTATCTTTGTTCCCTGCATAAAACCCACAAGCACAACACCCACTGTAGACCTGTGTTAGAAGTGCAGGCACCCAGGTTTGTCAGTTCATGGAAAAAAAGTGGGCACTGGCATGATTTGGAAACAGCTAGCAGGAATTCACAGGGTGGGTCAGCATCTAGTCACACCTTAGAAACCAAATAAGAACTCAAAAAGCAAACACAAATCTCAGTAGAGCAAATGTTCTTCAGCTCTGCTGTGATGGGGAGCAGCTGAGGGAGCTGAGCTTGGAGCAGAGGAGGCTCAGGGGAGACCTTCTGGCTCTGCACAGCTCCTGACAGGAGCCTGGGGTCAAGCTCTTCTGCCAAGGAACAAGTGACAGGACATGAGGCAACGGGGTCAAGCTCTTCTGCCAAGGAACAAACGACAGGACATGAGGCAATGGCCTCAAATTGCTCTAGGGGATGTTTAGGTTGGACCTGAGGAACAATTTCTTCCCCAGAAGGGTCATGAAGCCCTGTCCCAGGCTGCCCAGGGCAGTGGTGGAGTCCCCACCCCTGGAGGGGTTCCCAAGCCATGGAGATGTGGGGTGAGGGACACGGGGCAGTGGGGACCTGGCAGTGCTGGGGGATGGTTGGAGCTGATGACCTTAAAGGTCTTTTCCAGCCAAAAGGACTCTGTGATTCCATGGCTAGGTGCCCAGCTGAGAGCTGGGTCAGGTAACAGAGCCAGTGCCATCGGTACCTGTGTCTGTCATCCCTGTCCAAGATGAGCCAGTCTGTTCCCCAGGCACACACTGTACCAGTCAGTGGAGGCAGAGTGCTGGAGCTGGGGCTGTGCCAGGGACTCACACCCTCCCCGGGCACCAACGGGCAAGGTCAAACCCCTCAGCTGTGGCAAGGGAAGTGTTACAGGAGCCAGCTGGATTCCAAACCACACTCGGTCCCCTGACCAAAACCTCCGAGAGGAGCTGCAGTTCACACACATACACTTGTCTTCTCAAAGCAAAATCTTCACTCCCCCAGGCAGCAGAAATGAATTTTTGCCCCCTTACCTCCTCGCTGCTGATGGACTCGGAGCTGGAGGTGCCCTGGTGGCACTGCACCAGAACGTTCGAGATCAGCCCCCCGGAGACCTCCACAACACTTCTGCAGAGAGCAGTGGGCTGTAACAGAGCAGAGCAGAGCAGACCTCACAGAGGGAGCTGCTGTGCAAACCCCCCGTGGCAGTTTCACTGCCAGGAGCCAACCTGAGAAGGATTTAAAAATCAGATTCCCAACGGAAGAAACTCAGGCAATGCTATCCAGTAAATAATTACTGGAGCAGGCTGTGGCCAGAGCACTGCACTCTGGCAGCATGGGGCCAGACACCAGTGAGTGCTCCCCTTCTAGTATGCAACTTATTGTATATCAGGTGTGTGAAGTCTGGAGCCTGTTCAAAAATCTCCAAATCCTTCTCATGGCTCTGGTATCACCAAGCACAAACAGAAGAGCTGTTCAGGGCTACACTGGCAAAACCAAAGGGCTCCCTAAAAGTTCTCCTCCGTGGGTAACAACTTCATCACCTGCAGGAGATCTAGAAGATGTTCCCCAGAGAGGTGGTCACTGCCCCATCCCTGGCACCATCCCAGGGGAGGTTGGATGGAGCTCTGAGCACCCTGCTCTAGCTGCAGATGTCCCTGTCCCTGCAGGGGTTGGACTGGGTGACCATGAAATGTCCCTTCCAACCAAAACCAGCCCATGATTCTATGATTAGCCCTGTCAGCACAGAGGGAATCTGCATGGCACAGGCAGGTAAGCCTTTATGCAGTGCCTAGACACACGATAGCCAAAAGCAGGCCAAGTAACAGCTTTTCTCCTCTCCTATCTTAGCAAAGAGGCCACGTCTTCCTTCCAGGATTTGCCCCCAAAGCCCATAGACACCTTCACTACCTGCTGCTCCAAGACACACCTCCTCTTTTCAGCTCCCAGCAGCTCCCCACTGAGCAGTTTCCCAGCTGGCACCCCAGCTCCACGCTGCAGGCTGTGTTGGGTCTGGTTTTCAGCCAGCCAGTCCTCCTGCACTCTGCTGCACCAGCCGTGTTCCAGCGTGCCCGAGCACCTCCCGCACCAAGGGGGGTCACGTTCACACCAGAGGCACCTACCACGAGGGGCCCAGCTCTGAAGGGGCAGGTGGAGGGGTCTCTCCCCGAGGCCTTCGCGCACACGGTCTGGCGGATGCTGAAGTGCAGCTCTAGGCTGTAGGCATCACTGCTCCACATGTCCACCTGGGGAAGGGCAGAGACACGAGCTACAGCCACTGCCTGCCCTTCTCCTGTGCCCAGCGGGGTGCTACCAGCTCTGCTCTGGGGACCTGGGCTGCTGGGAAGCCTCCTGAGAGCACAGGACTTGGAAAGCAGCTCCCAGAGCTGTGAGCAGTGGAGTGAGTGCTGTTCATGGAGCCAGCCCTGGCAGCCCAGGCGCCTCCACGGGCAGCGATGCTGCAAGGGCCACAGGGTCTGCTGGCTTTCCCTGGCAGGGTGGCATTTCTTTTTATCCCCAAACTAGATCAATCCAGAAGTCACCCTGTCCTTCATTCCTGCAGAAGACTTGATACACACCATCTACAGAAACAGAACTGGTCTGAGGATGTTCAGGAACGTGGACGTGCTACCTTTAAGCTAGGAAGTTTTAACCCCATAACTCTGGGTATCCAATACAATTCTCAGCAACCTGCTTTTAGACACTGGCAGATCTAAACCAGGATTGGTGTGTAGAGGCAAATGCCAAATACAGACCAGAGAAAGAATCCTGTGTTTGTGGTGGTATTAACTAGCAGTGCAGACATTAAGCCCAGCCCTTCAGATGAACCACGTTACTTTTTGCCCAAAGCAAAGCAGTTAGTTGGAGGTATTTAAAAATATCACTTTTGAACAAAACCTTACAAGGCATCCCTCTAAGACTTCTGTTCCAGGGTTGGACAACATGGACTCCTAAAATATTTCTAATTACAAGACAACATATAAAGAACATGTAGGCTCCTAAAGCCACAACTTCAGATAATGCCCCAAACCCTCCCTCTTCCAAGCAGCATCAGAAAGCTCCAACTCAATCTGGGTGTCCAGGGGTGGGGGAAGAAGAGTTTTCCACCACAGCAAAGCATATTTCAGGTAAAGGATCTCAGCACTTACTCTCGTGACGTGGCTCCTGACAACACCGTAGAGGTTAGTCCCCCAGGAGCGGGAGTTGATCCTTGCAAGGGAGGCGTTGAGAGCCTCTTCTGCGACTGGCAGTTCATAGTCATACACTGGAAACCCTGGGACAGAGGCACAGTGCCACCAGAGGTTCACGTGGTCTTGGGCTTTCCCCCCAAACCCACCGTGGGGCCACCCTCAGCACCTTACCTGAACACGAGAAAACACCCAGCACGAGAACAGAGATCAAGACCCTCATAGTGAGACTGCCCAGATCCTCTGGTCTTGTCCCTGGCTGGGCACAGGCTGCCAGCAGTGTCCCTCTGTCCTTATATACACGCAGCCTTGATCCCACACTGACCCCTGTCTCCAGGCTCTGCTCCCGACACCGCACTTTAAACGGGATCGATCCCACAGTCAATATTTGCTGCCAGCTCTTCTCCATTTGGCAGTTCTCTGATAAGAGATGGGCCACAGTGTCTTCTTCCCAGGCTGGTGGCTACAGGGGAGCACAGAGCTCCCGAGAGCTCCAGAGCCAGAGCCAGGGCCTAGTTATTTTGCTCCCTTGCAGCCACAGTTACCCGCTGGAGGCCAGCACTGCCCCAGCACCCCTGTGTCTCCAGAGCTCCTGGAAGCACTTACAAGCTGGTGTTACAAGGAGGGGATGATTCCCCACCACCAAATGGGTATCCCCCCGTGGGGGCCTGTCTGACACCACCCTGCAGGCCAAAGCATCCCACAGAAGCTTCCACAGCACACGGCAGACCCCTGGGACACCCCAGGTCTGTTTGCTGTGCAAGCTCCTGGGACCTCTGCTGTTTGGCACGTGCCAGAAGAGCCCCCACCTTGCTCTGACTCCTGCCAAGCCTGAGCCCAGCTAACCCAGGGAGGCTGTGGACATCTGGTTTCCCCACCAGACCCCCTAGATGCTCAGGCTCCAGTTTCAGCACAAAAGTCAACGGGCTTTTTGAAAAAATATGGCCTGACTACAGCCCTGAAAACATCACAAGGAATCAGAGGGATGAGCTGGGCACAACCCCTCAGCTCTTGGCTAGCTGGAATCACTTGCTAGTCTTGGTTTCCAGATTGGCATCCCTCTACCACAACTGCCCCACAGCAGAGCCACTGAAATGCTTCCAGTGAGGTCTGGAGATGCACGTGGGTTTTAAGGAATTAAAGGCTGTCCATGGGGGCTGGGAGGGAAACTCGCTGCCTTCAGACGAGTTCACAAGGCAGAGGCTTGTCTAACCACACCCACTTTGAGGATCCTGCGTGTGAAACTCCTCCGTTAACCTTCCAATCACAGTTCCACATCAATTATGTGGTGTAGGGTCATCTTAAGAAAATCCCAAATGATAAGAGCTCAAAGGAAACACACAGGAGCTGAGATTCAATGAGGAAGAGGAGAAAGCTGTTTCTGGTGTTGTCAGATTGCAGGATGGCAGGTTGCACACTGGGGGGATGTGACTCCTCGGGTGATGGGGCTGGGGAAGCATCACTCATGCTGCAGGTGCCTCAAGGCAGAGACCACACAGGCCCTGCTCTCCTGAGGCACCACAGACACGACTGCCTGGCCTGGGCCTTGGTGCTCCCTGGATCTGTTCCCTGCTGTCGCTGCAAGATCCTGGAAAAGGAACCCACTGACCCACGGTACACCCCAGGAAAGAGTCTGTGTGCCAGCTGGTAGGGCTGCAGAGGGACACAGACTGTGCTAGGAACAAGCTGTCCCTGGGGTGGCCAGTGGGCACAGCCCTGGGCAGGAACGGTGCCAGGGCCACACGACTGGCTAGTGCCACGTGGGTGTGCATCCCACCAAGCACTGCCCGGGCAGAGGTGGAGGTGGGGGCATACTCCAAAAAAGGGGTGGGAATTTTTTTAACAGCCAACTTGGATTTCAGCACTGGGTACATGATCAGAAACGCCAGCTGAAACTCTGCCCAGTGGGCAGCCAGAGCTCTCCTGCACATCCATCCTCCCGCGCTCCGCGGCTCCCGACGCTCCCTCCCGGCTCCTGGGCACGCTCACCTGCAGCAGGGGCTGCCCTTCCTGCTTCCCAGCTCTCCTAAACTGCCGCCTGTGCCGTGAGGAGGCCACTAATGTCCTTCTGTGGCTACAGCCACGCCAGAGCACCACAACGTGGAGGATTTAACCCGAGCTGGAGATTCTCAAGAGCAGAGCTGCTTGTGCCGTGCTCCGCTTTTCTGCAGCCGGAGCCCAGACCACGCTCCCTCAGAGCAAGGAGGACACCTTCTGATGTACTGTTTGACCTGTTTCTGTGGTGGCTTCCCTGCAAGCAGCTGTGGTGCTGCTGTGGTAACGAGGCACAACCAACGAGACCTCTCCGACCACTCGAATGGAAAGAACTTGGCAGCTGGAGCCCCAAGGTCCTTCCTGCTCCACAGCACACTGCTCTGCCAGCTTGCTGCGGCAGCCGGGACAAAATTCAGCTTTCCACTTCATCCCTAGGAAAGGAACCATCTGTTCCATGCTGGGACCAGTTAATGTTCCACCAGAACCTGAGCAGACAGAGCTGCTTCCTTCCTAGCTGCTGAGCCCCAGTGCTGCAGCCCCTCCGATGGCAATTTTAGCTGTTGAAGCAACCTCAGGATTTAAAGATCTTTCTCTTGGAGTAGCTGCTCGGAAATGCTGCCAGCAGGATTGCAGCCATGCCAAGCAGGGCTTGGAAATAAAACTGTTTAATGAAACGAAATCTCCTCTGCAGTGCTCTGGCTTTGCTTTGCAGCACCCAGAGAAGAGAGATGTTTGCTATTCCACCTCTTGGAATCCTGGCTCATTAAGTCTGTAATGAACTTGGTAAATACTTCCCCTATCTCTCCACATAATCTACTCTAGTAGCTTCATATTGCAGAAAAATTGGTGTAATCCAAAGAGACACGTCTGGGTTGAGGGTGCTCAACCCAAACAGAGACAGGAGCTGGGGAAGAGGGAGAAACTGGGGCTGGGCAGGATGGGAACAGGGAGTAAGGGGGCCTCAGGCACGTGCTGGTGGGAGGAAAGGCAAGTGTGAGCAGGGCACAGCACTGTCCCCACTCACAGGTGGCACCTCCACGGGCACCGTCTGCCCAGCAGTAACGGGCCAGGCACAAGGAACAGCAGCAGGGTGGGGTGTTTCCCTGTGGGGCAGGGGGGTGAAGAAAGAGTTCTTGGGAAACCTCAGCCTTCTGTAGATTTAAGCAGTAGAACCAATTTTCAGACTTGGAGCGACCCCAGTTCTGGGTTTCTGAGGAGGTCTGAGGTTTCCACCACATTCCCTTTGCACTGGAGACTGTAACTGAAGCATCAGGTTAGGAAACACCACTAAATTTGGGAAGAGCAACTGGAATTCAGCCTGATATCAATACTTGGCAAAAGGCCTCCAAGGTCAGATTCCCAAACCCACGAGATTCTTCAGTTATTGCAATATTTAAAAAAAAAAAAGTGATTGTTTCATCTGTGCTGTAGAAACAATAGGCACAGCCACGCAGACAAGGACAAGGTGCTGCTGAAGGAGCAAAGCATCCTCCTCTTCCTCCAGACACCAGCTGCTGCCTTTTGCCCATGAGGACCCTGCCATGGACCACCAGGTACCACAGGACACAGTGGTGGGCAGTGCTGTGGCACATGGAGAAGTGATGAAAGGTGAAGCCTTTCCCTCACAGCAAAACCAGGGCAGAACAAAGTGGAGGAGGTGGAAAAAGAGACAATAAATGTTTCTGAGGTGTCACCTTCCACATCCCTGGGAATTATAAACAGCTTTTTAGAAAGGGCAAGTGTTACAGTTACACCCCAAGAACACAAAACCTCTTGAAACCTGAGAGAGGGTGGGATGGAGAAAGACTCTTCACAACTGAAGGGCTAAACTCTGGCTCCACTGCCAGGAAGGTGCAGAAGCCAAGCACCCAGGGCAGCAGGCAGGGGCTGCTCCAGTCCAACCCAGGCAGCAAACAGGCACTGCTTCAGGAAAGAGGAAATTCAGGAGCTTCTGCTCAACGACCATTTTCAGCCCACGTTCACTCCCAGCAATGGAGGCAGCTCTGTTCCCAGACAACTGGAGAACAGTAATTCCTTTGTGAGTGGGATTTTGATAGTTCCAAGATGTGTTTTCATTTACAGTGTAAATTGTCCAGCACCCTCACAAGCCTGTCCACTGAAAACAGCCCAAACGTCATCCCAGGCACTGAGGAGCTATTCCAGATCCCTCGTTTCCTGGACATTCAGGTGACAGAGGATGATGTCCCTGCAGGTGAAGGAAAACCTGACTAAATGCAAAGCAGCATGTTCTTTTGTTTGGTGGTTTGATTTTGGTTTTTTTCCCTCTGGCTCCCACAGAACAGCATTGGCAAAACCAAAAGGCTCCCTAAAAGTTCTTCTCCACGGGTAACTTCCTCACATGTGCAGAAGACCTGTCCCAGGTTGCCCAGAGAGGTGGTCACTGCCCCACCCCTGGAACCATCCCAGGGGAGGTTGGCCGGGGCTCTGAGCACCCTGCTCTAGCTGCAGATGTCCCTGTCCCTGCAGGGGTTGGACTGGGTGACCATGAAAGGTCCCTTCCCACCCAAACCAGTCTGGGATTGTAAGAGTGTTGTACTGACATCAGATGATAGAGGAAGGAGAAAGGCTTCTAGATTTTGCACAGCCAATGAAAGCTTTGAGACCTGATCCACAGTTCACAGACACCAGAGACTCAGCTCTGATTCTCTCCAGGCCTTGTCTGCATGTTGAGAAGCCTGCAGAGGATTGTCCAGCCAGTGCAGACACTGCCTGCGGGCTGCTGAGCCTCCTCCAGCCCTTGACCACCTGGCATGGAGAACAAGTCTCTGTTCTTCCAGTTTTGCCCATTGCTCTCATGAGCTGGTGCCTCTGCCACGCTGGCTGCACTTCTCAGCCCTGCACAGAGCTTTCTGCTGTAGGGCACTGGAGATTTGCTGGTCAAAAGGAGAGTGCAGACAAGTAAATACAGTGACACCTCAGCTTGCTCCACCTATGGTATTACTTTGGGTCACAACAACCCCCTGCAATGCTCCAGGCTTGAGGAAGAGTGGCTGGAAACTGCTGGATCTGTGATGATCTTTAAGGTCTCTTCCAACCAAAACGATTCTGTGATTCTATTAAGGCTGAAACATCTCATAAGTCTGGAGTTTACACCATGGCAGTTTCAGACTCTGCAAGGTTTTATCACTGCCTCAGAAGAACTGAGCTGTAGCAAGGCAGAACCCACTGGAACTGATGTCTTAGCAGTAATTTCACAGAGATGAAAGG